AAGATGGAGCAGAAGTGAAAAAATGATTTGTTGACAACTCACTTTTTTCTATTGGCACTAGTGTGGTAATTAAATATCCTTTCAAGAACAGAAATGTGTGTACATTTGCCTTATATGAGAAATGTCTCGGGCATTTGGATACTTGGTCCCCAGTTTGTGGCATTGTTGGGGGGAAGTTTAGGAGGTATGACCTGATGAAGGAATTATGTCAATGGGGGCAGCCTTTACTTGTAGTTTACTCCCTCTGCTTCTTGCTTGCAGTTCAAGATGTGAACTTTCAAAAGCTAAAGAGATGGCTCAGTGGTTAAGAGCACTGGCTGCTCTTCCAGAGGACCTGGTTCAATTCCCAGTACCCACATGTTGGCTTACAACCACCTATAACTCTAGTCCTAGGGTATCTGATGCCTTCTTCTGGCCTTCATGGGTAACAGGTACACATGCGGTGCACCAATATATGTGCAGGCCAAACACCTATACACATTTTTAAAAAACATCAAGGATGTGAGTTCTCAGCATCCGGCTCTGTCTACCATCCTGCCAGCTGCCTCTGTCCTGCCACTATGAACTCTAACCCTCTAGAACTGTAAGCCAAAATAAAGTCTTTCTTCTCTAAGTTGCCTTGGTCATAGTATTTTATTACAGAACAAAAAAGCAACTAATACAATATATAAATGATCTAAAAGTTAAATATGTTTGAGAGCCAAATGGAGAGTTGATTAAAACACAGATTCCTAGGAACCACCTGAGAAATTTTGATGAAGCAGGTCTGAGTGCAGCCTGTGAGTTGGTATTCTTCCCAAGCTTCCACGCATGCTGAACTGCCCTGGGGTACCTCATTATGTGGCAGGGCACTTATATGTGGTCTATAACCCCATTTGAATGATACAACTTCTCCATACCAAAACAATGGTATTTTATGTCATCATGTACAGTGATATAAAATAATATTGAACAATGTATTGAATAATAGTATTAAATAATGTGTTCCATGCTTCATAGAGTACAATTTATTATAAATGATGCTCAGATAGAATTTAGTGCCTTCTTCCTTCACATTAACCTCCACTGTTATCAGTCATCACTCAATGAGACTGTGGTCTTACTAGAATTAAGACAATCTTACTTGCTAATGATGTTATATACTTAGGTTGGGGACTTGGGGACTTTTGGCTCATTTGAAAGATAATTGAAGTTTCTACTTCCCTCATATCTTAACACAGATACAAAAATAGTATTTTAAACTTTATAATTTTTATTTTTTGTATGTGTATGTGCACCCATATATTTGTAGTACCAATGGAGGCCAAAAGAGGGAGTTTGATCCTCTAGAATCACAGCTACAGATGGTTGTGAGCCACCATGTGGGTGATGTGAATCAAATCTGGGTCCTCTAGATGAAAGCCAGTGCTTTTAACCAGTAATGTTCTTACTTTTACTCATACCACCCATTTTCTCCTACCAGTGAGCTCAAGTGTCTCCCTTGCTTATTTGTTTCTTGACATGTGCTTAATGATTTTGTTATTTCAGCAGAGAATTGCCAGGACAGTGGTATTCTATTTTCAATTAAGGTATACAAATTTCAATGCATAATGAATGAACAATGAAATGTCACTTTTAAGATAACCACTAGGACATTTATACATTCATTCCTTTATTTACTCTTTTCTGTGTGCCAGGTTTTCCTACCCCAGGATAAAAAGAATCAAGTGACAGAACCTTCTTTCTCAAGCTGCCCAGGCAGCCTTTCCTTCTTGCTGGGGTTTTGTACAGCAGGGGCCTGTACCACAGACTCTTTTTTAAAATATAAGGTTATTTTATTTTACATGTGTGAGTGTTTGTCTGCATGTATGTCTGGTACCATGTGCATATCTGGCGCCCATGGAGGCCAAAAGAAGTTGCTAGATCCCCTGGAACTGGAGTTACAGTTAGAATCTACCATTTGGATGCTGAGAACTGAACCCAGGTCTTCTTTGAGAGCAGCAAGTGCACTTAACCACTGAGCAATCTCTCTAGTCCCTGTTGTAGTGGGTAGTCATTCCAGCTTGGATCTGGAAGCTCCAACCCCCATTGAGACTCTGGCAACTGTCACGCCTACGAGGCGGGGCGAGGGGAGGTGCTGGAAACCGGAGAGCTGGATGGGCAAGGGCTCGCGCGGGGCGCGCTCTCTGCGCCTGGACCCTGGATGGTGGAGATTGATTGTGCAGAGCTCCAGAGAACACCGCTGGATTGCTATGCGCCTTCCCCAGACCCCCGCGACCTATCCATTCTTTCATTTGTAAGTCATCCACTAAATAAATCTTCCTTTTAACTACTTGGAGTGGCCCTTATATTATTCCCCAATATCTGGCGCCCAACGTGGGGCATTTGTTTGTTTGTTTGTTTTTGTTTTTTGAGACAGGTGTTTCACAGATTCTTAACCTTTTATTTCTGCCTCTGTCTTGGGATTAGCCTGTAGTTGCCTTTCCTCTTTATACATGTGATTTTCCAAAAGCCGCCTGTTTGTAAAAAGTAACACATACTGTTAAAGATGCAAACAATACAGAATTGTGTGCTATGAGATGAAAGAAAGCAGAGCCTTGCTCAGAAGCTTGATTTCAAAACTCAAGTCAAACAAGAATTTAAGTTATTGCTAGAGATCTGTGACATAATCAGTGCACTATGACAGCCAGAGCTGGAGGAAGAATACTTGTGCTATTTGAAAACATGCATAATGTTTTAAAAATACCACTTAAGTGTGTTTGGCAGTATTTATTTTTATAACTTTCAATTCATAGTCTAGCTACACCCTCTGAGAAGCAACAAAAAAGGAAGATTAGATGATAAGAAACATTCCCAAATGGCAAGTTGGAGAGGAATTCAGATAGACTCTTTGCTAGGTGGCTCCAGTAGTCTTGCTGAAACACAAGTCAAAGGGTCTAGAAAATTTGTATTATATGTGCATGAGCTAATAAAGAAAAATTTCGATATGGTAGTTCCCCAGGTTCAATCCTGGCTTGGAAGTGAGTGTACAAGGAAGACAGGTTGAGCCTAAGGCCTTACTTTTTTAAAAATAGTTTTTGAGATTATAATTACATAATTTCTCCTTCCCTTTCCTCCCTTCAGACCTTCCCACGTACCTCCCTTGCTTCATAACAATTTTTCTTTTTTGTTATGTGTGTATATGTGTGCGTGTTCGTAAACATATAAATACGACCTGCTCAGCTCAGTCTGTACAATTCGGCTTGTATATACGTTTTCAGGGTCAACCACTTGGTACTGGATAGTTAAATGGTGTGCTCTTCTCTGGGGAAGACTATTTCTTCTGCTCTCAGGATTCCTTAGTCACCTATAGTTCTTTTTCTAGAGCTGAGACTTCGTGAGCTTTCTCCCTTCCATGTTAGCAGTCGTGGTGTTGTCCTTGTTCAGGTCATGTTGAGGCAGCCATGTTGTTGAGGCTTTATGAGTTTATCTTCTGACCTTTCTCACAGACACACAATCTCACACCAACCTCCTGGTCCTCTGGCTCTTCTTATGATCTCCCCACCACCACCTCTTCCACAACAATCCCTAAGCCCAAGGCACTATCTTTACCTAAACAGGAACAAGTGGCTCTCAAATGAGGGAGAATAAGTCATTGAGGAACACCAGGCAAGAACAAATTGGCACCTGCTCTTTTATTTACTCCACTGTCTATTAAATAATTAAATTCCCAGAAAAGAAATACTTTAGATTCCATAAACAAATGTCCCTTGGATCTCTGAACTCCAGTTGCTCTTTTACATATACATCCTTGCTTCCTTATAGGCCATGGGTCAGCAATGTTTGCCTGCAAAATGCTTTGTGGGCCATAACTTCTCTAAGTCAACTCCTCAGCTCAGCTTTGTAGCACAAAAGCAGCCCTACATGATATGAAAATCAATGGGCATGGCTGTGTACCAATAAAGCTTCATTTATGGACAATGAAATTTGAATTTCATATCATTTTCATGTGCCATGAAATATTATTCTACTTTTCTCCCAACACCTAAAAAATATAATACTCATTTTTAACTCAAGGGGATGGGCATAATTTGGCCCATGGATCACAGTTTGTCAACTCCTATCTTATGTCCCAGTACAGGACCACCTTTGTACAGCCTCTATCCTCTTGGAGGATGCTACTGCATAGGAAAAGGACCACAACCTTCACCTGGTGGGAAAAATGAAGACTGACCTGGGGAAAAAATTAAGTTGGGGTGAGAGCAGTTTTTCTTTTTCTAATTTCCATGTTACAACTGGAGATTATGTCATGTGCCCATGGGTCCTTTACCATGAATGGAGAGGCTCTTTTGAAGGTGTTGGGTGACAGAATTGGTTCTTAAGGAGGTTATTATTGTAGTGTTAAACTAAGAGACAGGCTGAAAACTTCATAAAGTGAATGTGGCAATTACAAGAGATGTTTAGATAATAGCTTGTAGAAGATCTCCTTGTGTTAGAGAAGGCAGGACATACACAAGATTAAAGGGTGTCAATGAAATGTGAATGTAAATGAGAAGAAAATGAAGGAGAAATGCAATTTTTGGTTGTCCCAAAAGCAAGATAATAAGGTAGAGAATGATATGGAAACTTGATTGGAGAGGCGTGGATCTCATGCAAAGACACTCTGTCTTTGCTACCTGCGTAGCACATAAGTGCAAAGATACTAAATAGCTTCAAATGACTCAGCCTGATTTGGATCAATCGATGGCCCACCATTACCATGGTCACATCCAATTTATTAAGTACAAAGTCACTCTAACATTACGTTGGTCTCCATATAGTATGTTGGGCATGCTAACTTATTTAATTTAGTTTTAATCAATCTTCAGGTATATAGTATCGTTATATTTTTTTAAAAAAATAGGTTTTTGGTTCCTAACCTGATAATGTATGCAAACTGAGCACAAATATTTTGAACTTTATAATTTCTTGGTCCAAGATGACAACTTTGTCCATAGACTGAAAGCCAGAAATAACAGACACAAGTACACATACGAGCAGAGGAGTGTACAAATCTAGTAAGTATTTATTGAGGTCTGTTTTGTGCTCATCGTTGCTTAGACCCTATGAGAGAATACAAAAGATTTTAGAGACTGGGCACTCACTTCACAGGGTGAACATTCAGCTAGAATTTTCCTTTACTCCACAGCTACAAAATAATGGAAGCAAGTTTCTATCAGGCATGCTCTGGGCTCGTGGAGTTCCCTGTGCTAGTTGTGTATTGTTAGGGAGATGTTGACCAAGCAGTTTGAAAGAGAAAAGGTCATGTTCTCTACTTGATGTCTGGCTTCTTTCTCCTTTGAAGCTGTACCACCAAAGAAAGGACAATCCATTTCAAGTATTACTGTGAACAAATTACTACAGTACTTGAAGTAAGTTAATGCAAAGCCATAGAGCATGACACCTACCATCTGTCACACTTGGATTAAAGTGAACAGTGTGTACCATTCTCAACCTCAGCAGTTCATGTCACAGATGCCATACCAAATCCAACACTCGCTCCCAAGATACATCATTTCATCTTCCAACTCCAGTTACCTGACAGGGTCTCCATTTACATTATCCCTGGACAGACTGCGAGGCCAAAGACACATTTCCCTCTTTTACTCTAATATAAACATCTCTAGTAATAAACAGACAGAGATGTCAAGTCCTAAGGCAGAACTAAATACTGAAAGCAATGCCAGTGAAGATGCCCAATCAAGTCAGATGCTCTTTGGACAACTTTTCCTGAACAGACCATAGTTTTGATATCTAATGCCATGTATATAATCTCATGTTTTGTATACTATGCTGCTAGCAATTACATACAGTAAAATGACTCTAAAATGAAGTCTGAGCATCATCGTTGTTTTGGAATCCTGCATTACTTTCTCCTTTCCCAATGTCCATAGAGTCATAAGGATTTTCTTCTCTTTTTGTTTCATTTTTCCTGTTAAATAGAAAACAAAGTCACCTTAATAAAATGAAGTTAGAAAGACACTTGCACTGACCAAATGGATAAATATCAAACAGCCTGATGGCACCCAGTGCTAAGGATGCTGAGTTGGAATAAAGGGAACTTTTCATAAACCGGTGTCATATGTGTACATAAATTCTGCCTCTATGAGGACAGTTCAGAAGTATTTATTAAAATCAGAAGTTCATGTTCATTTTGAGGCCAGCCTTTCACCTGCAGGAATTTGTCTTGCAGCGACATTAGCATGAACAGGAAATTGCCTGCATTTTTTTTATGGACACAAATATTTGGTAACCATGGAAGAGTCCATTACTACAAAATGGAAAACTACATTATCAGGGAAAAGGGAAGTGCATTGTAAGCCAATCTGGAAATATCTCTAAAACATATTGTGTGGAAAATAAAAAAATCTGGAAATTATCTATAGAACATACTAGGTGGGAAATAAAAATATGTAGTACATACTTCACATATACTAAAAACTGATAACTTTGGTTGAAAGGATTCTCAGAAGCAAAGAATGACAAAGGAACTCTATGACTCCTTTGTATTTTGAAATTTTTAACCATGTGCACTACCTAGAAAGTGTTTTGTGTGCATGTGTGTACATGTGTACATGTTTGTGTGTATAAGCGTGGATTTGTGCATGCTACAGTGCGTGTGTGGAGGACAGACAATAACCTCCGGAGTTGATTCTCGACACCCATCATGATTGAGATGCAGTCCTCTGTTGTTTCTCTGCAGTGCATACCAGACTAACTGGCCCTCCAACTTCTAGGGATTCTCCTACCTCTGCCTCTCCTCCCCTCCCCTGTAAGTGTTGGAATTACAGATTACTTCATTACTGCACCTGACTTTCATATGGGCTATGTGGATTCAAACTCAGGTCTCCATATTTGTGTGGCAAGTGAGTTCACCTATTTCCACAGCCTCAATTTTTCAAATGAAGTTGTTTGGTAGAATTGAAAAATCTCTACATTAAAGAAAATTAAATAAAAATACACTCATCCATGTAAAGATTCAACTGAGGGTGTTTAAACAGCTCAAACCATGCATAGAATTTTTTCAGGTGATACAAAATACTAACTTATTTAGCAAGCCCAACAAAAGTCAATTCTCTCTCAAGGCAGGGGCAAAAGTCTAATCATAAAACAAAACTAGAAATCAGGCCTCTGGTGATTCAAACTCTCAATCAACTCACAACTCTAGAACAAATTAGAGGGTGTCTTGCCATGAACTAAAATGATAAGGAGTATGATCTACCCAAAGAGGAAAGTAACTAAAGAGTAATAGTTTGAAACATATCTTAGGGCTCATTCTCAGGTGGCATCACAGTTCAACCCCCACTTCAGTCCATCCTCTGTGGACAAAGCAAGACTCATGGGTGAGGATAATCCCTTACTGAGTTTGCAGTCCAGATGTGACACAGTGCAAAGGATGCAGTTTACTACAACATGCCAATAAACCAGGCTATAACTTCTTGTATGTGAGCTTGCTAGGAAGGAAAAGTACTCATAACACCTGCCAAGTTTCTAAGGGATACATCAGAATAGGTAGGTAGATAATTTTCCAAATAAGTAATCGGCCTATGTATATATTGTGCTATTTGTTGCAAATTTTCCAATTTATGTTTCCTAAAAGACAGATATGTCTTGTAAAAGATACTTACTTCTTTCGACCTTTGATCCCAGTGAAGATTAGAATAACGATGCCAACCACTACAATTCCCATCACGACGCCAAAAATAATCAGCCATATGGTGACAGGAGGCTGGTAAGGTGGTGCAAGTGTTGGGTAAATCCCCAGAAACTCCAGGCTGTTATCATCCAGGCCGAAAACATCATTGATACGGCCCCTAGAAAACCTATTCGAAAAGCAAAATATAGTAAAAGGGGATGCTTAGACCAAATAAAATTGCTGTAGTTATTTCCTCTTTGTGTCCTGGTCCCCAAAAGGATTGAATAAGGCTTGTCTTGAGAATGTGCAACTAGAATTTGTATGGTGGCACATGTCTGTACAGCCCGTGCTCCAGAGGCAAAGTGGGGAGGATGTCACAAACAGCTCTGCAGAGCAAGATCCAGGAGAGCCAGGGACCATAGCGAGACAAAGAAAAAAAAACCATGCAAAATATCCACCTCAAATAACAATACAATCGAAGAAGATAGGGCCAATGGAAAAATACGAACTTTTGACAGTCACGTATCTTTCATACCTGGTAACCTGAATTGTTGGTCTATCAACAACCTCATTTGAAATTTGAGTTGGAAATTTAGAAATGAGGGGGTTGGAGAGCTTGCATTGCTCATCCAGAGGACCTGGGTTTAGTTCTCAGCATCTACACTGAGCAGCTCACAAGTACCTCTAACTCCAGCCACAAGGGCTCCGATGCCTTCTTACCTTCATGGGCACTGCACATATGTGGTAAACATACAAACATGCAGGCGTGCGCGCATGCACGCACGTGCACGCGCACGCGCACACGCGCGCACACACACACACACACACACACACACACACACACACACAAATGTTAACAGAATAAAATTAACATGCAAGTTAATAGGTTTCTCCAGGCAGTGGTGGTGCATGCCTTTAATCCCAGCACTTGGGAGGCAGAGGCAGGCAGATCTCTGAGTTTGAGGCCAGCCTGGGCTACAAAGTGAGTTCTAGGACAGCCAGGGCTACACAGAGAAACCCTGTGTTGAAAAATCAATAATAATAATAATAATAATAATAATAATAATAATAAAATAATATTTCTTTATGTCCAAGAATTTTAGAAATGAACAAATGGCTAGTATTTGCTCATGTGTAAGTACTGCATTTTAAAGGTCAACTTAGCATATTTGGCAAGAATTTCTCAGCTCTCAGAGTGCATCTAAAATGATTTTACAGCAAACAACAGAAAAGCCTAACTGAATGTCCCTCCTTTGTGAATGAACTCTGTCCTCTACCCAAATCTCTGTGGGAGTGTTCCAAAGAAAAGGGACTGACATTTGGAAGCAGCACTGAGGAGTAACACGGGGAGAGACCTCTGTATGTCTCCAGCACTGAGAGAAGCAGCTGAAGGTGATGGAGTAAAACAGATGAAGCATATTTAAAACCAAACCAGTGCACGGGGGGAACATTCTGGTTTGTAGACTCCAATGTCTGGCACCACAGCCTCCTATCTATGGGTGTAGCTAAGGCAAGAAGGTCAAATTCCATCAGAGAAAACAAGCAGCCAGCCAGGAATTAGCCCTAACCCCTGGCAACATCAAGAGTTTCTTAAGACATTCTAGAAGAGTCGTTTCTAGAAAAGAAAGTCCCCATAGCTCACAGCTGGGAATCCAGGAAAAGCCAGCACATTCACAACAATCTCAGTAGGCATTTTGTCTAAGGAGGATACTTGCCTTTTGGGAGGAGGAGAACAAATCTCTGGGCATGATTCAGTCACACACCCCAACCAGGCCAGACTTTCTAGGCACACCCTATCCAGCAGGTCTGAGATCTGTTCTCAAAAGGAAACAGGATTCCTAGTGTGGCTCACGAGCGCCACCTAGTGAGATGCCAGGTATAGGAAGTTTATTAAGCCTTTTAGGGTGGGGATTGGTTTGGGATTTTTTTGAGACAAGTTTTCTCTATGTAACAGAGCCCCGGATGTCCTGGAACTCACTCTGTAGACCAGACTGGCCTCGAAATCACAGATATCTGTGTGCCTCTGCCTCCCGAGTGCTGAGATTGAAGGTGTATACCATCACACCCAGCATTTTTGTTATAATTATTTTTAATGGCAAAGAAAACCATCCATCTTCCACTCCTGCTGTCTTCTTTAAAGCAGCCAAGGCAAACTGGACAAGTCATTCCTTATGGATAATCACTGCTCCACAGTAAATTCCTCTCTCAATGTCAAAGAACTCGATGCTTGCCTGCCCCATTTCCTGCTTGGAGCAGTTCAATAAATCTTTCATAATGCCCCTGTAACAAATGGTGGCAGAGTGTGCCCACTTCCCTTCTGCACTTTCCAAATATGCTAGCCAAGCTTCCTTTACACAGAAATGACTTCCCTTTGCCTGAGACCATTGTCAAGCTAGAGAGGCTAGGGGATGAACGTCACCCGGAATCGGTTCTCAGACAATGACTAGTGAGAAGCGGTAAATATCCCAGCTCCCTCAGCCTTCCGGTGAGACAATCCTAGTGTACACTCTCCCATTTCCCAGAGCTGCCTGGCAGGACTAAGCTCTAGTTTCTGACAATAGGAACTTGTTGGATATCTTGAAATGTCCCCTTTTCTCTCTTCTCTGTCTCCTGCCCACAGTTTCCATAGGCGCTTCTTGGACTGCCTCCCAAATAAACTGCTTATGCTTAAATCGTTGTCTAAGGACCTGCACCTGGGGCAGTCCCCCATCAAAACAAGTCTCTTGCTATTGGATTATAATAGAACTAAAACCCAAGTTTGTGCAGACAAAGAGATAGTTCAGCCAGCAAAATGCCTGCCGTGCAATCGTGAGGACCCAAGTTTTGATCCCTAGCACCCACATAAAACATCTGGGTATGGTAGCACTCAGCACCTGTTCACTGCAGTACTTGGAACTGGGGGAGATTGGCAGATCCCTGAAGCTCACTTGCCTGCCTAGCTGAGTTGATTAACATCAGGTTTAGTGAGACAACCTGTCTCAAAACACAAAATGGTAACAGGTCTCAGAGAAGACACCTAGTGTCAACCTCTGGCTTCTATGTGTGACCTGTGTCACGTGTACACACACCCATACACAAACCTATACATACACTACACACACACACACAAGCAACAACAACCATCCAAGTTTTGAGACGAGGTAAAACATGTAAACGGCTTAGAATGATGTCCAGCACACAAAAAGTGCAGTAAATGTAAAGTATTGTTGCATTAGCTAACCCCTTCACCTTGATACGGTTTGTTTGAACTTAAACATCACCTGATGGCATCTTCAACGTCCTTTCTGGGAATGATGTCAGACACATTTTGGGGTGAAGTGACAAAGAAGTTGAAGGAGACTCTTGGTTTCAAGTCACTCACATGTATATCTTCCACCCTGCGACAAAAAAAAAAGAAAAGAAAAGAAACGTTTTTGTTTTCTTCTTTCCTAAGGAGAGAACACAGTAAAGAAAGGAAATCCGCCCCCTGCTGGTGGAAAGGAGATGAGAGCAAGGCTCCTGGATGAGGAGATACAGGGCAGGGTAAATTGGGGAAAGATACAGCCAAAAAAAAAAAAAAAAAAAAAAAACCAAAAAACTTCACAATCCCCAAAGCACAAGAAATGAAATAAAAGTTGCAAAACACTGTCCTGCCCCCTGGCATGGTGGCACACGCCTTTAGTCCCAGCACTCGGTAGGCAGAGGCAGGTGGATCTCTGTGAGTTGGAGGCCAGCCTGGTCTACAGAGCGAGATCCAGGACAGCCAGAGCTACAAAGAAAGATCCTGTCCCCAAAATCAACCCAACCAAACAAAAAGTTGTAATACCAACTTTTGATACTGGTTTTTCCTATGACCACATAAAACCCACATCTGTTCAGTTCTTTTAAATGTCAACTGCAAGCCCCAAGAGAATCAAGAATGAATTGTTGGTGACATAGAAATGTGAAAAGCAGCATGGTAGACAGTGATATCTCAGTGTCACAGACAGATACAGCATGTTAACATCCTATAGCCTGGCCCCATCCAGAAAGGTGTTGGATGGCATCACTGAATGAAGGCAAAAACTAGGGATCACTGCACAATGTGACAAGGACATGCTCTCAAAGCTCCCAGAGTGGCCCTAGTAAAAACTAAGGCAGATCATGTGGCTATCTATATCCTTGAATGACTACTTGACCTTCTCAAAATAAAAGCCAAAGGCCACGGAATGATCTTGAGGCCCAAATGAACTTTCTTTGCTCTCTTTTACCCACCTACCCTGCCCAAACACTGCCTGGACCACATCACCTACTTGCCCTCTAGAAGATGCTTCCCCCTCACAGTGGCCTTCGTGCTGTTCCTTTGGCAGGCAATGGATATTACTTCACCAGACTTTGTCCTGTTGTCCGCTAGCTGAACACTTTCTCCCATTGTCTGTGCTGCTGGCTTTTCTGCTTCTCTTCCTGCTTCTTAAGGTTTGTGATGTCCTCTCTAATCAACTCACTAAAGCTGAACATTCCCCGGCCTCTTTCCTCACCCTGTCCTGTTGTGTTTTCCTCCAAAACACATATTTAAAGTCTCTCTCCTTAGATCTCTCTCCTGATAGAAACTCATGTAAGACAGAAATGTCCTTTATTTCCCCTCTTTTTACTTCTAGGGGTAGGGTGAGATTGTATGGAGAGAGAGAGAAAAGAAGACAGAGAGGTTTAATAACAACAATGTTTGTGTCATCTCCAAGTTAAACCACAAGCATCCTAAAAGAAAGTGACCCAAATTCCAGATGCCAAATAAAGTTTTGGACTATGCTTACACAAGCAGCCCTAGTTAAGATCGGTGGGCCCCAAATAAACAAAACAACAGTAGAAAAAGAGATACAAGAATAGAAGGAAGGAGGAAGGATTCAGGGGGAATCAGACGAGAGAACTACAAAACACGTACATAAAATTGTCAAAGAATTTAGCAAACATAGATGCTAGGTGGTGATGGTGCACACCTTTAATCCCAGCACTCGGGAGGCAGAGGCAGGCAGATCTCTGTGAGTTCAAGGTCAGCCAGGTCTACAAAGAAGATGCCAGGACATCTAGGACTGTTACACAGAGAAACCCACACACAAAAAAGAATTTAACAAATATAGAAAATAAAGTCTACTTAGAGATTCTTCTTGATTTCACTTAAAGAAAACTAAAGCACATCTCTCAGACTCTTAGAGTAGGGGGATTTTTATCTATAGAGCCTAGCAAATCAACTCACCCAAAAGGAACATTCTGGGTTTTGTTCTTTGCAAAATACACTCTCATGGCATATGCAACCGATGACCGGAAGAGGTACATTTCGTTGTCATTCCATTCATACTGCAAATTGAGAAGAAAGACACCACTCAGTGGGGTGGGGAAACCAGAGATTCCTCATCACTATTCCAAGGACTCTGGCCACCCATTCTGTGCCCTCTACTGTGAACATGCATCAGCATTTGGAAGTGGGATGCTTAAAACCGACTACTGACTCTACCTAAAAAGTTTCTCCTTAGACTGTTTAGGATGAGACCCAAGAGTTTGCATAACTCCTCCCCACCCCAGGTGCTAATGCTGCTGGTTAGGAAACCATCCCTGCTTGAGAACCATGGCACCCACCAGTCCTCTCACTTTGGTTTGATATTAATTGAAATAAGAACCCTGAGTATAGGTTTATAGGTGGGAAATAGCCCAAAGCTGTGGGGTTTGTGTGGACTATCTGTATGTTGTAGGCAACTGAATCTAACTTTTACTGTTTTGATACTAAGTCCGCAGCTATTTGAACCATGCACGGTAGTGCACACTGTAATGTCAGCATTAGGGGGTAGAGGCAAGATAATTAGGACTGCAGAGCAACTTCAAGGCCAGCTTGGGCTATGTGGGAATCTCAGAAATAAAAAATTGTTTGTGTGCTTGCACAGCTTTGTAGAGGTGTTTGCAGGCACTATTTCGTCCAGTAGCTGGCAGTAGAGATCAAGAAACGACACAGGAATTTAATTTCTCCTTTCCCTGTTAGAAAAAAGCAACACAAAAGCTCACAAAAAGGACCTGTTTTTACTTAAGTTTGGTTGTGCCCAGATAGATGAAGGATGGGATTTATTTTTAATGGTATATTAATGTTGTACCTAGTAATTTTCTGGCTAGCACTTCCATAGTTTAAAACATCTTAAAATGAGGCCATAGCTCCAGCAGATGTCCACCATGAAATGACTTGAGCTGGGCAGATAGTCTAGCTCTACTGCACATGCGTACCAAAAGTACATCTCGCTCGGTGATCGCCTTCAGAATGTCACACCGTCAAATTTGCATGGAAAGAGAGCACGGCCTCAAATGCCCAGACAAGAGAACTGAGAAGTTTCCTGATCTGCCAGGACTGATTTCAATGTATAAGGCCAGTGAGGAGCTAATAAAAGTATGCTGAAGGTAGATACCCTCTTGGACTGGCAATGTACATTGAGAAAAAGGAATGGGAACATAGAGATGAGAAGCAACGGACTTGTGTTTCTATAACTGCTTTCTCACAGCCTGCTCTTTTCTACTGAGAGACAGAAAGGGGAGAGGAGGTGAGGAGGAACTGAGAGGAATAGAGGGAGGGGAAACTGTATCAGAATTTGTTGTATGAGAAAAGAATTATTTTCAATAAAAGGGAAAAATAATTGCTTTCTTATGTTTTCATTTTTAATGCTTGTGTTATTTATATTTTGGTGTCTTGTTTACAAAAGTTTAGCAAAGTTATTTTTCATGTCTTGGGAAGTATTTAACTTCTCAGGAAACGGGGAGGCAGAAACTGAATCTTTGGATCTATACAATGACACAATAATTTTCTGTGGCACATTGGACTGTTTTATCTGATTGTCCCAGGTTGATTTCTAAACCTGCAAAGCTTTCAGGTTTCCAGGACACACCCAAGCTGTTGAGACAACATGTCCTCTCTTCTTTCCTAATCAAAGCTATTACTGAAGGAGACTGTTTGGAAAGAGGAAGGGGAAGAGTGGAGGTGATGTGGAAAAGACAGTAAATAAAGGGGTGTAGATGTATGAAAATCTCACAATGAAACCCATTTTCTACAATAACTACATACTAATAAAATCATCTGGTTTTAGGCTTGTGCTTCCCAGCACTGGATCAAGTGAGATGGGTGTGCTGGAGAGAGGAGAGCAATAACTAAAGGTACCAATAATAAGAGTTTCCACAAAACGTTTTCTTACCCTAAAGTGCATCTCTAAGTCAATGGTTCTCAATGTGGCTACACTTAGAACTGCCTGGAGATTTAAAAATTCTTTACATCTTAAAAATGTATTTATGCTGGGCGGCGGTGGCACTCGCCTTTATTTCCAGCACTTGGGAGGCAGAGCCAGGCAGATCTCTATGAGTTTGAGGCTAGCCTGGTCTACAGAGTGAGATCCAAGAACAGACACCAAAACTACACGGAGAAACCCTGTCTTGAAAAAACTAATTCATTCATTCATTCATTCAAATGTGTTTATTTTATGTGTATGAGGGTTTTGTTTTGTTTTGTTTTGTTTTTTTGCCTGTACCATGTGTGTGCCTGGTGCCTATGGAGATCAAAACAGGGCACAAGAACTGGGGTTACACATGGTTGTGAGCCATAATGTGGGTGCAGGGAACCAAATCTGGGTCTTCCGCAAAAGCCCTAAGTGCTCTTAACCGTGAAGCCATCACCCCAGCTCCAGATTTAAACTCTTACTGAGGCTGGGTGTGATGGTGCATGCCTTTAATCTCAGCACTCCGGAGGCTCTCTGGGAGTTCAAGGCCAGCCTTGACTATATAGTGAGTTCCAGGCCAGCTGTAACAGCACTGTGAGATCCAGTCTCAAACAAAAGAAAGCTCTTAATGCCCAAGTCTTGGTGTCACACTCTAGAGCAATTAAACCAGTGTCTCTGGAGGTGGAGCCCATGAACTCATATTCTGAAGACTTCCCACACAGTTCCAATGAGCCAAGTTTGAGAATTGGAGTTTCCCAGTCATTACTACATATGTAAACCAAATAGAAGGCTTACAAAAATGTGGGTCCTGATTAAGCAGGTCCAGGGCTAGGGCTCGAGATGCTACACTTGCCAAGCTTCTAGATTTGAATTAATTTTTTTCTGCACATGAAACAACCACACTTTTAATAAAACTAGAATATAGATGATTAAGAAAACAAAACGGAGCGAAAAAACCTAAGAAAAGAAACAAGGCCTCACGCTGGTCAGTGGTGGCACATGCCTTTAATCTCAGCATTCAGGACGCAGGGACAGGTGGATCTCTGTGAGTATAAGGCTCGCCTGGTCTACAGAATGAGTTTCAGAACAGGCTCTAAAGCTACAGAGAAACCCTGTCTCAAAAAGAAAGAAAGAAAGAAAGAAAGAAAGAAAGAAAGAAAGAAAGAAA